TTGACCTCATGATCCACCCGCCTCGGCCTCCCAAAGTGCTGGGATTACAGGCATGAGCCACCGCGCCCGGCCTTTTTTAACATATCTGATTGTTGTACATAAAAAGAAATTAATTCAAAGAAGTAATAGCTTCTTTTGTTATTGAGAATTTTTGAGGGGGGATTAGAAAGTTCATTTAACGTATATCTCTTTTTTTTAAGGAAAGGAAATAATATTGGCTTCCTATATCATTTTCCTAAACGTTTCCTATGGAACTTAAAACGTTCACAGAAGGAAGTGGAATGAGAGATGCAAAATGACAACACAACTTTTTTAAGTGGTAAAGAAAAGCAATTAATAAATGACCTACCTGCTCTTGCCAAGCACATAAAACTGATGAATACGTAGAATCTCAACATGGAAACTGGAGAGATCATGTGTCACATTCACAAGAATCATTTACTTCGAAGAGGCTTAAGAGTCTCCCCTGTGGGTTTTGCTCACAGCGAGCTCAGACGACTCATTCAGAGGTGTGGTGACAACAGGAAGTTCCCTAGGGACTGACAGCAGGAGGTCCCAACCCTTTGAGGATCTTTGACTCCTCCTCTTTACAATGAAAGGTCAGTTACTATCTACTTACACAATTTTATGCATGTCATAATATTATAATCTGCATTTGCTGAATGACGAGTTCCGAATAGTTTCGTTCTTTGTGGGCGTTTATTAGTTGTTTGGCTTGGTGGCTTGGTGTGTTGAAATCAAGTGTGATTGAGATATTTTCCCCTCTGGTTCTTGTGAATGAAATAACAAATCCAGTTGGTATTCTATTGGTCTGTATATACAAAACCAGTTTTTAAGTTAATTCATACACTCATTCATCATAGGGGAGCCTTTAGATTTTATTAAGAACATTCATTAGGTTCAATTATATATCTACATTTGCCAAAACATATGTATGCTTCAGATTAAAGGAAACTTTTTTGGTACTATATCTCTTTATTTTTATTTCTTCCTATTTAGAATTTCTGCCTCTCCAATAGTTCTTTTTTAAAAAGGAAAAATAGGCCTGCACGGTGGCTTACGTCTGTCATCCTAGCACTTTGGAAAGCTGAGGTGGGCGGATTGCTTAAGGGCATGAGTTAGAGACCAGCCTAGCCAATATGGTGAAACCCTGTCTCTACTAAAATGACAAAAATTAGCTAGGTGTGATGAAACGCACCTGTAATCTCAGCTACCTCAGGAGACTGAAGCACAAGAATTGCTTGAAGCGGGGAGGCAGAGGTTGCAATGAGTCTAGATCGCATCACTGCACTTCAGACTGGGCAACACAGAGAGTGTCTCAAAAAATAAATACATAAATAAAAAGGAAAAATAAAGACTGGGCGAGGTGGCTGACACCTGTAATCCCAGCACTTTGGGAGGCTGAGACGAGCGGATCATGAGGTCAGGAGTTCGAGACCAGCCTGGCCAACATAGT